TATTTTTCCCTTAAATGGATCTGAGCTGTTTTCTCAGCGTTCTTCTTGAACAGTCAGCGTGGGGAGCTTCTCGCTTCTCATCAGGCCTTTCAGCTGAACTTTGCTGCCTGTAGCACAGAGACATCTGCCTGGAAGACCTTCAGGCTTCTGTCTATAAATATAAAATATGAGGCTGCTTCGGCAAATTTGGAAATGCTCTTCTGATGGAAACACTCATGTAAAACAAGAAAGTTTTCCTTTGCACTATCCTCAAGAGGGCACTTTTGGTTTCCGCTTTCTTTATATACACAACGCAAAAGAGTGGCTGACTCAGCTGCTCCACTAGAGCAGAGTGCTTTCTGAGCTGGAACTGTCTTTGCTTTGTGGATTCAGTACCTCATCATTGAAGAGCTGTCCTGTTGGGATGGAAGCGAAGGGCTCAGAAAACATGATTTCTTATGCTTGGCATTTTCTGTGCTTTGTTCCATGMTGTTAGAATAAGTATCAGCTGACCTGAGTAGGATTTTACACCATCTTAGACACATGCTTAATTATTGGCCTTGCTCTGTTACCTTTGCATGTTTATTTCATCTTAGAGCTGATGACTTAGCAAGTGACTTGGGTCTCCAAGGAATTCCAGTTCAGTCACTTCATGGAAACAGGGAGCAGTGTGATCGCGAACAGGCTTTGGATGACTTTAAGAAAGGTAAGTTGGTACCTAAATAGTGCTTTGCTTGGTCCAGGTTTTAAAGCCTGTTCTGTGTAACTTGAAGTCTGTTAAGAAGTGCATTGATTCCTTAATGCACTAGGAACAAAAATGTTAAATGTATGAGTATAAAGCCCTGAGTGATAAATGCTGGCTTTGACAAACATAAACAGCAAACAAAGAATTTACTTTTTGTTCAGTGAATATTGGAACGTATGAGAATGCTCAATAACTCTTGGAATGACCAAGAGTTAAATTATTTAAGGTAAGGCCTATTTGAAGTCTCTGAAGGGCAGCCAGTGTTGTACTAGTTTACAGGACTGCAAATGCTAGTGTTCATTCGATGACGGTGCTTGCAGTGCAGCAGTTCTGCTGTTCACTTAYGCTGGGAGGATTGGTTCATATAATCCCAAAGTACATAAAATAAAAAGATGGTSCCATGATAAGAATGCGAGTTAAGGAAGTAGTTGTTGAAGTTTCTGTTCTCTTTGTAGACACTTTATATCAGCAGAGCAAGTTACTTGATTCTGCTGTACTTTGTTCCACCTACAAATTTAAATAATAAAATGACAATACGAGTGCTTACCTGCCACCTAGTATCTGAGATTCAGTCATTGTGGGACACAATTAACATACTTCCTTTAAGTATCGAGGATAGGTGTATTGGACACCAGGAAGTCAGTAAGCTAGAATAGATCTTCTGTGTATGCCATAAATTCCTCCTGTGTGATTTTTGTTGTATTTATTTTAGGCAAAGTCAAAATACTGATTGCTACCGACTTAGCCTCGCGAGGTCTTGATGTGCATGATATTACTCATGTTTTTAACTTTGACTTCCCTCGAAACATTGAAGAATACGTTCATAGAGTAGGTCGTACTGGGCGAGCAGGGTAAGTATTTTCAAAAGCAATATTTGTAGTTGATGAATGCCAGTGTCTTAGGCAGTGTGTTGGTTTTGCATCCAACACTAGAGCTACAGGTGATGCACAATGGAGGGGCGATGCAAATTCGCCAACTGTTAAATGGAAAGCAAACAAGCTTTTTTATAGCTTATTGTTAGGTGTTGGAATACTGCTTGCCCAAGCTGCAGCAAATCTTTTCTCCCTCTTGAGATATTAATGCATGACTCTTCACACTTGAGTGATATAGATTTGTTGTGTAAAGTGTTTGTACTCTTGCTGTGTTTTGGCTGAACTGCCTTATTCTGGCCTTCACAAAACCAAAAAGTGGCGTTCCAACCAGTTTTATGTAAAGGTGCAGAAATGCTCCTGTACTCCAATTACTGCTAATTGAAATATATGTTGGTCGAAGAAGCCTAACAGTGTAGGTATCTTCTCTTGTGAAGATCAACATGTTTTGTTCCTTGTTCTAGACGCACTGGGGAGGCGGTAACACTTGTCACCAAGAATGATTGGAAAGTTGCATCTGAGCTGATAGACATTCTGGAAAGAGCCAACCAGGTAAGAGACTGGCTGAGGCTTAGACTGCTTGTGCTTTGCCCTCTGAACCACGCTCTGAATGTGGGAGGCTGCTGATGCCTTTCCACGCAGGTAATGTCTCAGCAAAAATTAAATTGCTAAATCCCTCTTGTCCTGAATACCCTGAGCTTGGAACTTTTCACAGTTGTATTTTACCTTAATACAGATGAGTCTCTAATGAATCTCTAATATTAAAACATCCATCCCCACCACCACAGAAAGAATCTAGCGTGTACACGTAAGTGCATGTGCACACATGCATCCTGCAGGGGAATAAGGTGGTCTGACTTACTCCTTAGGATGTAACTCCACATTCATTTCACTTCTGAACACACATACCGTGTACCAGAAGGTCTACAGAAACTGCAAAGTGACAGGGGCCAGATGAGTAACTAGGTGGAGTTTAGGAATGCTCAAGTCGGTTGTGCGTCGGTAGCAGTGATGTTAAGTAGATGTCTAAAAGCTTACAGAATTGCTTAAAACTGACTTTCTTCTCGTGGTATCTTCTTGCCAGGCGGTTCCTAATGAGCTTGTTTCAATGGCAGAAAGRTACAAACAATTTCAGCTGAAAAAAGAAATGGAAAGAGATGTTAGAAGACCTCCAAGACGGCATCCTAAAGAATTGTAGTCACTTGGAARTTACTGAAACAAAGTGAGTGATTATAGGTTGTGTTAGTGCCTGTGGACTTCAGTTTTGTACCTATCATATTTAAATAAATAATCCATGTGCATGTATACTACTGTATAAAATTAACCCTTTTTTTTTTTGGTTTTTTTAAAGACAAAGCTGTCTTTGTGGCAAGGTCTTATTTTGAGCTTAAGAAAARTCTGTTTTAGTGCCATTTCCTTAATGCATGTAGCTTCCTAAGCCATTTTGACAGCTTTTTTCTTTTTAAAATTAACTGCATTATTAGCATATGAGAGTGTAAAATACAATTTTTCTTTTTTTTATTTTCAGAGTGCTGATGAGTGAAGGGAAGCGGTGCTTGTCAGTGCGATTCCTAAATACTGTGTGTACTTCTSCCCTGATGCCAGTGGCACGCAGGAGGGTTTCTGATGTTAGCTTACAGTTACGTGACAGCTGCTTTGTTTGCAGTCACCATTGTTGCTGAAGCAAATATTTCATATTTTAAAATAYGATTGAAAGATATTTTTGTTAACAGTTGTGTCTCAGACTTTTTTTTTTTTTTGAGAGAAGTCTGTATCTCTTCACCGGAGAGAAGCACATAAGAGGTCTTTGTTGTGTGGCCAGGTGGAAGAGAAAAGGAACTTCCACTTTTGTGCTCAGGGATGCTTAGTTTGGCTTAGGTGGGGAGGAGCAGGCRAGTACTTTAGCAGAGTGGTGTTAACAAAGTCATGGAGAGCGGCTTGGAGAAAAAAGAAACTRGAAAAAAAAATCTGGTCAGCTTTGTTTGAAACAACTTTGCCTGAAGGAAACTTGGGTGTCAGGCTCTGTCCTGCAGACCACTRGGGGTAACAGAGGTTCCTTTTACGCCCTTGGAAGGGAAGGAGCCATTTCTGTGCAAGTGAGATCACTCTCAACTTGTCTTTACTTGTGTGAGCACTGTGAGTAAATGGAAAAYTGATGCAATCTAATGAATGGAAGTATTTTAATAATACAATTCTCTAAAGTTTCTTCTGTTTTTTTTTTAATAATTGATGTAAAATATGGACATTAAGCTCACAGGTATTTWGCCTTCAAAAGCTTAAAATAAAGACTTGCATGTCCTCCTTAAGAAAAGCCAAAGAAGTTTTTTACAGCACAGCATTTCTCAAATGATAGGTATTTATCAACTGCAAAATTATAAAAGTGTTTTTTCCCTAATGCTCTTCAGTGCAAGAAGAATCAAGTTGAATTATCTATGGGCAGAATAATGAAGAGCAGTTTATAGCTATCGATACCATTCAGCCAAACTAAACAGGATGAACTAAACTGTATTGCGCCTGAGCTCTGCTCTTGCAGTGCAGAATGTTTTGTAAGTTAAGGTGAACAAAAATCTGGAGAGAATTTCTGTGTTGTGCTACATTTTAATTTTGGTGATCTCTTGARTGGCAACCCTTTGATAGGGATTTTGATAGTGAATTTTTCTACAGGGATCTCAGCACAAATGCTGGCTGCCCCAGTAGCTGTCATTACTGAATTTCCAAAATAAAAACACGGCTGATACTAATGATGCACTGGCATACAAAAGGCCTTCRTAACATTTTTATATTAAATCTCTCAAACACTGTGGCACAAATGTTGTATTTGTGTTATCATCCCCGTGCACTGTTCTCSTATCCTAGCCTCAGGTAGAGCACCCTGGATAATGATTGTTTCCTTTGCAAAGTCCAGGGAAAAGACTGGATTTCCCATCTGAAGCCTCGGAAAAGCAAAGCTCTGTGGGGACGTGAGGCTCTCTCATGACCATGTTCTGCCTGTGCTCAGTGGTGCTGCTGGGGAGGGTCCTTGGTGGAGGTGTGCCTGGGAAGACACAAACGCTGCAGCCCAGCGCCCGGGCAGCCCCACGTGTAGTCCTGCTCCGGGACCGGCCTGGGAGCCCCTCTCTTGCCCACTTGCTGGCTCCCCTGTGGGGCCCTGACTTCATTCTGCATTTCCTCTTGCTGTCACCCAAACTTCAGAGCACTTGCACAACATACAGAGCTAGGTTACACGGAAAGATGGTTTAAGAAAGGATTTAATAAAAGGCAAGACACCATGGTGGTCAAGCAAGGTACTGACTGGCAGTGTTAAGTAGCTGGCCCCTTCCCCTCATCTGTAGTACCTCCTTGGTTCTGCACCAGTCCTATGCCAAGCAGTTCTTGGTACGTTTTGCGTAACCCAGCAAGCCCTTTCCTTAGCAGCTACAAAGTCCACATGGGTCCTCTCCAATCTCTGCCCATAGTCTCCTAAATTTTCATTTTGAATAAAACCGTTCAGTTTGACTATGATGTCACTAGTGCCATAGTATTTGGAATTGTAGAATTTGCTTAGAAAATGAATAAATTCTTGCAAATTTCATATATTTTTAGTGTGCCCTGAAGATATTTTGCGGGTGGTACCTTAGTTTGGATAGAGGAAGGTGAAGTAATACTTGAAGAATAGTATTTCTTCTAAGAACTGTATCCACATAGCGTGATTGAAGTAGGCAATTCACTGTGTTGATTGTTCCTGTTTTCCATAGTACCAGACTGCTAAGAAACAACTTATGCTGCTAGTCACCTTATTGTCGAATATGCGAATCTGTGGGGATTTTCATTGGATATTGTAAATAATGTTTTTAATTATCCTGCAGAAATATTGGGAATCTGTTGTTAATTTGATAGTTTATTTCCCTGATGAGGAAGTCTTGGCTCGCTCTGTCATTCTGGCTGAGTAAATTGTACTGGGGAATAAAGAAGTGTGGAAGTCGAGACTTTTGCAGGCAATCCAGAAAATATTCCAGGTACCGGTGAAAGCAGCGATCCAGGTCTTCCCACCGCCAGTCTTCRTCACGTGGCCACATGGCACATGAGTGGAAAAATGCAGTTTTGGCATGATAGGAACAGAATTTCTGCAACTCTTTCTGATGCTTTGTTTTAAGCTGCTGTAGCAGATACTTCAGAAGCTTAAGACAGTCTTTCCTGTTTAAAAGGAAAAAAAAAAAAAAAGTGATTAGATGTTTCCTACCTAATCAGTTCCAAATAGCCAACATGTGTTTTATTCATGAAAGCAATAAAAAATGCTCTTRCTCTAATGGAGTCACAGAATCTAGGATTCTGTCATACAATTCCATTAGAGTAAGAGCCTTTTTGGATATTTTAGATTTGGATATTTATTTAGATATTTTAGATCTGGAATTTAAATATGTATTTAAGATTCYATTAAAGTAAGAGCAGAATGACATTTTCCATACTGCTTTGCATAACATCTGAAAGTAAAAGTGCAGTAATAAGCTACCTAGTCTTAGAAGTASTGCATCTATGAAGGTATTTGATCCTAGCAGCAGAACATTTCTGTTTGAAAGGGCAGCTCCTGTGCACAGAGCACAGGAGCTCCCTGGCAGCCGCAGCTGCTGCTGCTCCCCTAAGGGTGCTGCAGCCTCCAGGGCTGCCGGAGACTAACGCTGCCCTTTGCGCGGCCCAGGGAATGTGTCGCCTGGGCCGGGAATCGGTCAGGGAATCACCTGCTCTGGAGAGGTAGGTGCAGTTCAAAACACTGCTGGGTGCGTCTGCCACTACTCAAAAAGCAAAGGGAAGGGGTCACAGGAGGGACTCCTGTGATTTTTCCTTTTTTTTTTTTTTTTTTTTAATTTAAACAAAACTTACAGAGTTGTTTTACATATTCTGCGCATTATTTCTTTGTTGTTCTTTCTGTGAAACTTAGTTTTTATTAGAGTGACAAATACCATTTGCTGATCGTCATCTCCTCCAGCCGTTTTTCTCTTGACGTCATTTTAAAAAACTGCCTTGGTAGGAGGTGTAATTTGTTCCCAAAGCACAGAAAGCAGAGCTGTCCATTTGAGCTAATCTTCCTAAATAGGACGGGGTTTGGGAAGAGCACCGCACAACTCGCATGAGTGCCAAATCTGGAGTCTAAGCCAGCACTGTAATTCCCTTCCATCTCTCAGTGAATGGAAGTCTGGCACGTTCAGTGAGGAATAAAAGTTTGTACTGCTGTCTGCTGCACAAATCAGTGCTTAAAAGCCTCATTCTCCCTCTCTTTCATGAGCTAATACTCTTGAAACAAATTAGTAATTTAAATGTTCAGTTGCAACCGTGCTAGGTAATACTGTGGCTCACACTTGGGAAATACTCATAGGAAATACCAACCTACAACATCTTACTCCATCAGATTCACAGCATGTCTTTCCGTTGCCGTGGTTTGTTATTATTTCCTTTTCAATATGTGAAAAGGAGAGTCGCCAAGTGTTTCCTGAAGTGGTGAGTAGAAGATGGTTAAATGGTGCACGGGGTAGTATCACTGTCTTAACAAAAAGAGACATTCTGRATTGGACTTAATTACAATATCAGCACTTAAAAAAGCACTATCAATTCAGCAGTTAGTATAATTAGTTAGTTCTCCCTTAGTTCTCCTGCCACTCCACACAATCACAACTGGACAGTTATTAGTATAGGGCAGGCTTGCTCATTGGAGTGCTRTGTATGTTCTCTCTTAAGGATTCAGTTTGAAATAAAGCTTAATTCTGAACTTCGTTGAATTTGCTGAACATGATTTGGGAAATAATCACACTATCCACAGAAATTACTTTGAATTTGTCCTGTATCATCAGCATTACCATTTACACAATTTGTTTTTGAACAAACAAATTGTGATGATTTGTATAAMTTTCTGTCTCACCGTGCAATTAATGTTTGTGAACTTACGTAACTTTTACGGCATTCCTTTTGTCCTTCTGTTCATGTTTCTGGCAAAATAATATGGCTCTGCTCACTTTTATTGTATAAGTTAGACTGTTTATATATACAGTATATATGTAATTATATRTATTGTACAGCATATATATTTATACTTTATGCAGATAACTGTATACATTAGAYTACCCCATTTTGTTTAGTTACTGATTTCATTTAATTTTCCCTGGAGGAGAGAGTCCAGCAGAGCAGTAAGGACTCAGCTGGCGGGGTAGGAAATGCTGGGCCGGTTATAATATACCAGGCTGCCCCAGCTCGCTCTTGCTGAAACRGACCACGCTCAGGATCAATGACAATTTGAGGTGGCTTCTGCAAACTAACGTAGGCAGGGGGTGACAGGCATCTGAAAGGAAAGTTACATAGCACTCCTGACAGTTGGAGTTCAATGAAAAATACCGCCTCTTGCCAGGTAGGTTTGCTCTGCATGGAAGTATGTCACTCAGCACTGTGCTTACAGTTCAGTTTAGAGGGATGTTCTATGACTTTCTTAGAAATCTGGAACTTTTGTAGCAGTCTCGTTTTTAAATTTCAGTACAAGRCAAGCAGTGGTGTTTTAAAAGCAGCTTTCAGTTATCTTTGCCCTGGAAGTACCCAGGAAAAATATAAAAATCAGTGCCTTAACAACACAATAATGAACAGAACTTGGATAGGCAGTTGATAGCACTTGCAGAGAGATGAAAGTTGAGAGAGAGGGGGAAGGAAAAAAAAGAATACAGTACGCCACAACACAGGCTTATTGTCTGTAGGGGAGATACCTCTTAGCACCTTCTCCTCTTTGTTTTGTTTGGCTACTAAATAAAAGTCTTGGTATCTGAGGTTTTTCCTGACTTTTGTTCCTAGCCATTCTCCAACAGGGAGGCCGTCCTTGGTGCTGAGAGGCCAGCTGTGATGGACCTTCAGAGCCAAGATGATGTCCACGGAGATTTCCGAGGGAGGCTTTTGGATCTGAAGTGTAATTGCAGGGCATCCCACTTTTTTCCTTGTTACAGTTACTTCTACAGCTGGTAACAAACAAAAAAAAAAATGTATTTTTACATCCATGTTTTWATAAAATGCACTGTTTTGAATAAAGTATTAAGGATTATTGAGTTGAAAAAGGGAGAGACTGTAGACTGTACTAGACACAGTAATGTTTTCTTCTGAGCTGCTTTACYGTGAAAAACAAGACTCACAGTTCCTGCAGGGTTCCCAGAAGAGCAGCAACATCTTCAAGGGGGATAAATGCAGGCAGCTCCTCAAGGCGGGCTCGGCGTGCGCCGGAGCAGCCCTGCACCAGCTCCCTGCCCAAGGCAGAGGGGTTCCACCTACCGTGGGGCTCCGTGTTACCCCGTTAGCCCTAAATGTGCCCTTTCTCGTACTGAAGCGGGCCCATCACATARTGCTTTAATATTTACTATTTAATAATATTAACTGCATGAGGCTGGCACGTCTCGGAACAAAAGCAAAGGCGAGGGCAGGAGAAGGGGGGTTCCCGCGGCTTGGACTGCGTGGGAATGAAGAGGAAGTCGGTTCAGGAGAAAACAGATTCCCTCTGCAGCAAAAGCAGTGCGTGTGTGCAACTGAACAGGACTTTCTTTTTGCCTTCCTAGGTGAAACTCGTTCACTCAACACTTACTACTTATGTTTTTCACTTCCTCTTTAATAATCTTCCTTAGCGCTTCAAGCATTTTGAAGGCTGAGAGCTTTCCTTCTTCATCTAAAAACCTGCTCAGGTACATTTCCTTGGGGTTTCTTTTGAGCGTCGCGTAGTAGAAGGCGCCGGTGTCGTCGCACGCGTCGAGCTGGAGCGGCGGCACGGGCAGCGTCAGCATGATGTCGAACTCGTCGGGCTCCGCGATCTGCAACGCACCGGGACGCGCCGTGGAGCCCGCGCGGCGGCGGCCCCGCGCGCCGGCCCCGCGCGGCACCCACCTTCACGTGCTCGTAGTAGCTGCCCGCGCTGAGCCGCTCGAGGCCGCCGAAGGCGCCGCCGCGCCCGCGCGCGCCCTGCAGCAGCTGCGGCACCACGGCGT